AGCCTAGTGATTATATATAGTATTTATTGCACCAACATTATGTTTTGGACCAAAATGTAATATTTAATGAAGAGGGAGATTAAAGGTAAATTAATTTATATAGGAATTACGTTAAAGAGGTTAAAATGAAAGTTTCAAAAATAGAGAACAAAACGTGATGACTTTATGATAAACAAATATATGACATAGTATACGAATGTTATAACATTCACTAATTAACAAGCACGACGTTATGCATGCATGTATGTCACGCATCATCATTGATGGGATGTATATCTAAACTCTTCTAATAGGAGAAAAATATAACTGATTTTTTTTTTTTTGGTATTCGAGAATTCTGAAGGCTCACGATTCCTCGATTCACACAATTACATGTTTGATTGTAACGATTGCATGGTGAATGTTTGATTTTGATACCAACAATTTACCACGTTCAAAGTGTAAGTACTCTTAGAATTACATATAAAATAAATATGATATCTAATGCAGAGATTGAATAATAAAAAGGACGGTTTTTAAAGTAGTTCCAATGTTTAACTCAAGTCCCTACATCCACTGTTCTTATATATATGATATATATATATATATATATATGAGAGATTACAAAAAGTTGTGAATAACGAACCGCGAGCAAAGGTACAACGCACGATATTCGGATAGAAATCAAGTTGATCTCGTTCTTACAAGTTATCTGTCCTCTGAGTATAGATTACAATCAAACGTGTGTATTCTATCTCAGAATCCTGAAAATGAGAGGGGAATCCTCTATTTATAATGAGGAATTCAGCTAAATGATTATAATCTACAAGGGGTATGTGTCGTGCAATTCCTTGCCTCTCATTGACTGATAATTAGGATATTTTCTCAAGTCATCTGAGGCTTAGACAAGTGCGGCTCTCATCATTTATAAATAAACGAATTTACCAGTTTGTGACGTCATATTCTCTCTACTTGGGATGACGTGACAACCCTTAGATGATACAAAAGTTTTCTTAAACTCTGATTGGATCTAACTAATGTAACTTCACATATTTTTAGACATATACAGTTGATTATATTTTTTCAAACCTATAAAATATAATTGTTATTAGAAAATATTCGATATATCTGTACATGTGATAGATTGATTGAATGTAAACGTATCCAATATATTCACTCCATACTCTTTATACACGCGAATCTGAAAATTAACACATGTATTTTCTTTTCAAGATTCTGAAGGCTCACGGCTCCTTGGTCCTCATAGTACCATGAGGATCTGAGAAGCAGAAAAAAAAATCAGCAGTCCATACCAAACAGCTTTCAAAATACAAGTTTTTACATCAAGAAGCAACACCAAGCAAAGTCAAAATTTCACGCGACCAACCCTATGAGAGAAAACACCCACAGTTTGGTAGGTTTTGAATCAAATTGCACAAAATGGTCTAAAAATTGAAGGGCACTGGGGTCTCTCTTTCTTCTCTGTCAACCAGGATGTCCAAGAACATTTGTGTCTTAGGCAAGAGTTACTTTGGGGGTTTCTAATTATAAGCATATATTAAAAAAATTATTTCAAATTTATTTTCTTTCTTTGGAGATCAAAATCACTAGGCAAAGTGGACAATACGAACAGGCTAACTAGGGAGGTTGTGGGGGATTTTGGAGGGAGTGTGGAGAAGAGGGGTGGGGTGAAACAGGTAATTTCAATGCCCGGATGAGAAAAGGCTTGAGAAGACCCCCAAAAAGGTATTGATGGCGGCGATTGACGAGTAAATGATGAGGTTGATAAGGATTTTTTGGTGAGAGGGTTGAGGGAAGGAAGATGGTGGTGTCAGGGAAGACACACAACGCCGGGTACATGCTAAAAAGGCTGAAAATGGCTGCCATTGCAGTGGAGTTGGGTTATGAGATTCGTAAAAAATCGGCCAAATTGAAGGCTATCAAGACTGGAAAAACTTGGGAAATGATAAAGTGATGAGTTTGTCAATTTGGTAAGAAAATCGACGGATCAACTCCAAGCGGCTAACGACAGAAGAAGGGTGGAGATGATTTATGTGAATGTCAAATTATGGGAGGGAATTCGGGTTGAGTATTTGAAACATGTAAATGATTAGTTTAGTCTTTATGTTTAAAGAAATTCAATATGTTAATTTAGGGATCTCAATTGGAAATATAAAACTAGAGATACAAACGTGCTATTTATCAAACTTTGGTGGAAATATATGTAAAAAGTTATAATAAATTTGGTCTTTTTCTTTTTTTTTTTTTTTTTTTTTTCTTTTACCAGGATAAAAAAAATCATATATCATTTTCATTTTATAATATATTATAAAATTATAAAAATTTGGCCGCTATTTTGGGGGGGGGGGTGGGGGGGGGGGGGGGTCCTAGGTGCCTCACTGCCATATCTTGAGCCGGGACCCTGCCCTGTCAACACAGCTGTACGGAGATTGACTGTCAATGTAGGTGCCACACCAAACGGCAACTGTATAAGTTAATTTCTGAGGAAGACTACCGGTAAAGAAGAAGAAGAAGAGATGCAAGTCACACAAAAACAAAACAGACACAAAACCCTAGTAAACGCTTATCAATCAATAGTAGTACAAATTTATCCAATCTTTTTATTTCTATCTCATTTTATCCTCACACCACCTTTTGTTGTCAGAAAATGGGAGTTTTCATGGCCTACATCATGATAATTTCTTGAAATATTTGGGGCATCAATGTCTCTGAGATCCAGAGCTTTTGTTTTAAAACTTGATATCTGGCTGAATGTTGGTTACGACTTATCGAGTAGAGTTGTAGAAGAAGAGCTTATGAAAATATAGTTTTATAACAAAATATTAGTCGTTTGGGTTAGACAATATAAAAGAAATTTTTAATATTAATTATCAAAAGAGTTAATATACAAAAAAAGTTATAAACATTTTTGCAATGCAACCAAACACATCTAAAAATTCGAAAGTTGCTTAAGATTATAAAATATCTCTTGACTAGCAAGTATTAATATCCTGACCAAACAATTTCAAATTAACCAGGATGTTTTGAAATATCATAACACTTTAAATAAACTCATAAAGAGTTTGAATCTAGCATAAACAAGTAGAGTAATATATTTAAAATTTTATAACACTTTTAAAATACAACCAATAACTTAAAAAAATTTGAAATTTCGAAAGTGCTTATAATTTTATATAGCTTCTTGACTACTTAATAGATTATTACCTCCTATGGATTTGACATTCTTCATTAAATCATTCCTACTAATTCCTGCCCCGGGAAATAGTGAATGCCGACTTGTTGGATTTGTTTGACCAATTTTGTCTCCATTTAATTAGCTGCAAATATTCATAACAAACTCTCAACTGTATTGTTTAACTAAACTTGATAGATACTCTGACTTCTGAATAATTTTTTGTATATCCAACTGTCCGCCATTGTTCTCACTCTATCATGCTCCATCTATCCAAATCTTTGTTCACTGATTATGTAACAATTTTTAATAATCGATCCTCGTAAATATTATTAGTTCTGCAGAAGAGATCGATTTGTTTATATCATCATTTTCTTGCAACCAAAACTAGCTAGGGTTGATGTCGGTTGGCACTTGGCAGTGAAACTTAAGAATCTTTAAGGGGGAAAGTCAAGGAAAAAGACAAAAAATATATTATAATCACTAAAACCATCAAAGATACTCTCTTATCTCGGAGTTCACAAACTTCAGAAATTAATAAGTCAAGTCAAGTTTACCAAATAACAATTTACAGAATCGTAACCCAGTATTTTTGAGTAATTAGAAGATGAAAGAGAGCAGAAAGACGAAGCACTGCAGAATTTAATGATAATCAAAATAATGTACCATTGATCATGAATATGCTAATTATTAATTAAAGTGTCACAAACTATATAATAAAAGTTTTTAGATTTCGTAATGCAGCAGCAATTACAGGTAGAAGGCGCAGCCAATGGGGATTCTTGGAGTCAAAGAAAAATTTCATTACTATTTCCCACTAATTTTTCTAAAGTCTAAGCCCTTCAGATAAACAAAAATTTCAACAAAATTAAGTAAAATCATTTGAACATTTTAACAATGCAAATAATCGTCACATTAATGAATCTTTTCCAGTTTTTAATTCTTTGTCACATGCTGAGTCATGATGTTTTTCACATAAACGAGTAGTCTTTCGTGAAAATCTATCAAAATAATACAAATGAGAAAACCAGACAAATCTATAAGAAGTTAGCTTTCATCATAAAGGAAAGGTAACTTCGCTATCTACAATGCAAAAAAAAAAAAGTGATGTTTTTCAGAAAAAAAAAATATATATATATATGTATTATATAGGTTAAAATGAAATCCTCTGACAGAAAATTATTAGACTTCTGTAATGGGATGAATGATTTAACAATTTGGGTAAAGCAATCTCGATCTCCTTGGAAGCAAAATAGGAGGAAAATTCCCTATAAAAGAGATTAATTAAAGGGCATCTTCAATCTCCAATGGAAGGTAGATAAACGTGCAGTAGGGACACACACCAGGAAAAATTGAAAAAAATGTGAAAAACTCTAAAAAAATTGTGACATAGTCAACTGTATAACTTGTGACTTCATGTTAGGTGGTGGTCGATGCACACAATACTACAATAGAGAAAATTATAAAGCGAAAACTGATATGAAATCCAGAAATTCAAGCACAAATTTATTCGCTTGAATGTTTGTAATTGATGTGAATTTGCATGAAATTTAGTAACATTCATCATCCAAATTTCAAGTTTATATTGGATGGATCTTCTGTTTTTTTAGTGCCTTTTTTTTTTTTTTTTCTTTCATAGGAATACTATTTTTGTGCATTATCCATCGTATAGGTCCATGTTATCCTAAATAGACTTTGGTCCCACGTCAAATTATTCAGCCAGTCCCAATATCGAGATCTAAATAAATGAATAGAAAATCTTCTTCAATCTTCATGCATGCTTTCATTTATAATTTCTAATTAAGTTTAGGGCAAATGCAAATTGCAATTGAAATTCAATACCAAATTGATTAAAAATTGGAAATAACACAATAGATTCAAATGTAATAATACTATTACAATTATACTGATTAATACATGTCGCAAATATAGTATATATGTAAGGCAATTGTCACAAAAATTTACAAGGAAATCTTAACTCACTGCTAGCTGACTTGTTCTTTTTGTCACCCTTTGCTCGACCTCCAAGAAAAGGGAACGATTTCTATTAATTAATTTGGCTATTCAAACAATCAATTTGTACAAAATGAGACCCTAATTGATCCCATTTTCGGCCTGGAATACTCAACAAATCTGTTGAGTAATATTGAATATGATTATTGGAAGAGAACAAGTGTGGCAGCGGAAGAAGGGACCAGTTCTTGTTGGCTTAAATTAGGATCAATATTAAGTTTTTTCTCCTTATCTTCATCTTTATTAATACCAAGTGATGAAGATGAAGGAAAACTCATGGAGAGATCAAGGTTCAAATCGGGCAACGTTGATCCACATGGCGCCCCCGGCGCCTCATCCTCCAAGCAACTTCCGGCATCAGAAACTTGATCATTGTCACGCCGTTGTTGAGATCTCACTAGCTGATTATTTGTATCGTTTTTCATTAAAGAAGATGTTGAAGCTGTGCTCGTCGAGTTTTCTGGGTTCTGATGCACAGGGCGAGGAAGACTATGGTTTAATCTATGATTATTTGGATCAATCCCCATGTTTAAAAGCTTCCTCCGTAAATGAGAATTCCAATAATTCTTCACTTCATTGTCTGTACGTCCTGGCAATCTTCCAGCTATCAGTGACCACCTGAAAATTACACCATTAATATTAATTCAAGAGCCTTAGCTCAAAAGCAAAAATGTACTTTTAAATAAGGTTGTCACGATATATCGTTCACATTGTTTTCACCTTTCATGGCCAAGAAAGTGAAAGAAAATTTTTCACAAAAGAGAGAAACAAAAAAATTTACCTATTGCCTAGAAGGGCGTGAAGTTTGATGATAAGATCTTCTTCATCTTCGGCAAAGTTGCCTCTTTTAAGGTCAGGTCGAAGATAATTTATCCATCTTAGTCGACAACTTTTACCACAACGAAGTAGACCTGACCGATAAACAAATCAAAACGTACCCCATTAAAAACTTACACTTAAAAATCAGATAAAACAACAAAAAGATAAACATTTGGAAGAAAAAGAGGTTTCTTTGCCCCACTTTTTAATTCCTTTTGGGGGGCAAAAAAAAAAATTACCATGTCCCATTAAAAAGTATATATACCTGCAGCTTGAGGGAGAGTACGCCAGCAACCTTCGCCATGTTTTCGAATATAATCAATAAGTTTCTGGTCTTCTTGTTTGGACCAAGCTCCTTTATTGGTGTCTTGCTTGTCACAGCAAGGCTTTCTCATTGTGAAAAGCAAAACCCCAGCTGAATTTGCACTGTAGAACAAGAGGTAGAAATGTACGGAGAGAAAGAGAGGGGGGCGGAGGCTGTGAAAACACAAGGGAGGGAAAGAAGGGGAAAGTGAATATACATATATATAAAAGTGGGAGGAGTAGGTGTTTGGATAGAGGGAAAGTTGACTTGGACCGGTGGTTTGCCAGTGCGTGAAAGTGTGGGAAAGTGAGAGAGATTGAGAATGGTGGCAGAAAGAGAGAGAGCGCTTTGACAAAATTTTGGGTGTGAGTTAGTTGCCGTTAAGTATAAGTCCTTGTCTCTTATTACAGTTACATCCATGCATATTTTTATTTTTATTATTATTATTATTGTTGTTGTTGTTGTTTTTTATATATTTGCTCACATAAGAAAAAACTCTTGAAATGTTTTTAATTAAAGAAGATTAATTACATGATAATAATATATTTACATAAAAACTTTTGTCTCAATTTTTATTTCTATAAATTATATGAAAACACTCCTAAACTCGAAATACATTGTTTTGTTATATTAAAAAAGGTTATTTATATTTATTAAATAAAATCAATTTTTACTGAAGCGCTTTAAATTTATAATTAAAAATGTTTAAATTAAAAAAGAGTTGAACTTTACCCACCCTAATTATCTCGAAATAACAAGTAATACCCTAAGTTTAGAAAACCATCAACGTTTCACCTTTCGTAACTCTCCCTCCAGATAAATTTCTTTTTCACCAGCCTTGACATGTTAAAAACCCTTTTTACCCTTAAGAATCTGTATTATATTAATAAAATAACAAAAAAAAATTAGCCCCATATTATTAATATTAACAAAATAGTTATCTCTATTTTTAACTTTCATTCATCAACACCCTCTTCTTCCATGTTCTTCATTTACAGAGCATATATACAAAATCAAACGTCCTTCCATCTTCTTCGATTTCAGAACAAATGTACAAAACCAAACGTTCCCTTCATCAAGTTAATAAATAAAAAAAACCCCTTGAATAATGAAAAAAATTTAAAAACCACAACAACAAACTCTTGTTTTTTTTAGGTTGCCCGGCATCACGTGGCTGGGCACAGGTCGTATGCTTCCAACACACTAGAGGTGTTCAAAAAAATACAAAAACCGAACTAATCCGATAACTGAACCGAAAAACCGGTTAATCAAAAACGGTTCGGTTACGGTTCGAAAAATTCAAAAAACTGAATTTTTGGTTCGGGAAAAAATAAAAAGCGGTTAACCAAAACCGGTTTTACAAATATATATATATTATATATTAAATAAAAATAAAATTATATATTAAATAAAATAATAATAATATATTATATTATATATTAAATAAAATAATAATAATATTTTTAATATATTGTTAGTAGTGGTCAATGGATATGTATGAATATTTAATTTTTTGTTTGGATATGTATTATTTATATTTACAATTTAATTTAGAAACAAGAAAAGTTTTATAAAAAAAAAGGGAAAACCGGTTTTCCCTCTAAACTGGTTCGATTTTGGTTCGAAAATTTTTCCGAACCGAAAAACCGGTTCGGTTAACCGCTTTTAAACACCCCTACAACACACACACAAACCACAGCCCACCCGCCGTCTATACCTAGCCCTATCCCACTAGGGGTGTTCAAAAGCGGTTAACCGCTTTTTTGAACTGAACCAGTTTTTCAGTTCGGAAAAATTTTCGAATCGAAACCGAACCGATTTGGAGGGAAAACTGGTTTTAAACTGGTTTTCCCTTTTTTTTTTATAAAACTTTTTTTAAATTTTTTTCCTAAATTAAATTGTAAATATAAACAATACATATCCAAATAAAAATTAAACATTCATACATATTCATTGACCACTACTAACAATACATTAAAAATTGATACAAATAAAAATCTAAATGAAATTATTTTTTATTTAATATATAATATGTATTTTTATTTTTATTTAATATATATATATATATTTTTTTTTTTTTTTGTAAAATCGGTTCAAAAAACCAGTTTCGGTTAACCCTTTTTTTTATTTTTTCCCAAACCGGTAACCGAACCAAAATTTCAGTTTTTTGAATTTTTCGAACTGTAACCGAACCGTTTTTTCAGTTAACCGGTTTTTTGATTCGGTTCGGTTTTTGCATTTTTTTGAACACCCCTATATCCCACGACCCCCACTGCACATCACCTCCATATCACCCTACCTCATCATATTTTGAGATTTGGAATTGTCACGGTATTTCAAGATTTTTTTTTCACTCTATTATGCGATACGGAATCGATAATAGTCATGGTGTTTGTGGTGTGGAGATGTGGAGATGTGGTGATAGGTGAGTGCGGTTGCGGCATTTTTGTTGCCGTGATTTAGGATTTTATTAAACTAAATAATTAGTTTCTAAAAATAAATTACTTTTTTTCAAAATAAAATGCAATTACCTCCAATTTTTCTCTTTATTGTTTGAAGAAATAGATTAAAATACCTTAATCCCCGTAAACCTTAACGCCTGACTTTCATTGACATTTGACGGATGGAATGTTGATAGCTTCCGAAACGTGGGCATGAATTTGTTATTTAGAGATAGTTAGGGTGGGTAAATGTAAATCGGCCTTAAAAAAAGTTACTAAATTTAGTAGATTACTTGTGCTAGTCTACTATACATAATATTTATTTAGAATAGTTAATCTAAATAGAGTTCTTACAGTCAAACAGCTTAGTAATAATTAACAGCATAAGCAAGAAAATAAAGAAAGAAAGAAAGTTGGCGGCAGCATCACATGTTATCACGTTGACTGATAGTTTTCCGTATTTGTTATGCATGATATTTTTGGACTTTATAACAACATAATGTTATAACAAACAGTCTTGTCTTTGCCTTCTCGATCTCTATCTTCTTCAATCACTTGTCTCTGTGTCCAAAACTGGGTCCGATTTTCACTCATAATCAACCAATCAAATCTAGCCGTTTATTTATCCTCAACTATCGTCTTGTTTGGACTCTGCAGCTCTCTCCGGCCACTAATTCTATAGTCTATACTATAATTATTGTCAAAGAGACTCTCTCTCTCTCTCAAGAGTGAGGGATGAATAAGGTGTAGACTAACAGTTTTTCTAGACTTGAAGAGCAGTCAAACCAGTTATTCTTAAACGTTCTGTGCATCTAGTTTTCATCTATGTATGTTGACTGTACTACTGAATAGAAAATCTTGAATCTTAGTTTTCATCGAAACTGTATGATGATGATTCTTGCATAATTTTCTAAAAACTGATCAACGAAGACTCTTTCTACTGATCTTGATCTTCTCATTCCTTAATTTCTGGGAAAATAATGGCGGGTCAAACAAATTAAGTCCTTATCAAAGAAGCCGTGTTTGAACGGTGCTTATAACACAACATTCTATGTTTTCAACACCATTTTCTGAAATTTAAGAAAATATAAGTGGGGCAGAAAACATTTATATATAGCAACGAAATGTATTTTCAAAAGTGGGATGAACTTATAGACACCAAAAACTCTCAGTTGAAAGTTGGTCATCCTCTTATATAAACAGCATAAGTATCTCATTAAATTAATTAATCAGAAGAAACTATCATTTTTAAGTAACCTAGTTATCCGCCGGTGGGCACATGGAGTTTCTGAAAGTTCTGGATGAAATCAAGAAAACTTAGTTTTGTCATGAAGTAGTACAACTTCATTTTGCTGGAACCCACGAAGCCACTGCAGGTCGATGGAAACAGTGGGTAGATAATGGAACAAACATGCTAATGAAGACAAAAGAAGTTGCTATATATGCTCTGACTTTGATGTTAAAAGACTGATTAACGATATGACTAATCATGATTAAAGGTTTGTAATATAAGATTTTGTTTGCTTCTGTGTGTTCAAAAGTGGGGATATAAATATAACGTGTGACACTCACTGACATCTATAAATTTTTAACATTTAACTAAAGAGATTTAGCATAAGATTTGTTGTTACTGTGAGACTTTTTTTCATTCAAAGATTATCGATGACCTTTCGTTAGTTAGAATGGAAAGGACAGTGCTTTTGCCATCTACATTTCCTACTTACAAATTGTATAAATGAAAATATTTTGATTAAATATTTGAGCTCCTATCTTGTCCGTAGTTTTAGGATCTTAGAAATACGTGTAAACTGGTTAAAACACTTTCGATCATTTCAAAAAAAGAAAAATTGTATTCATTCTTGGTGATTGTGCCCTCTCAAATTGGCCCATTGAGGATATGATAAATGGGATGAGCAAGTTGTAGGATAAGAGATGTAATTAAGAGACGAGTTCTATGCTTATGCTTAACCACAAATAGCTTGAAGTTAAAGATTATTAATTTATTAATTAAATTTTAAGTACAATACAAGGATAACAAATTGTATGTTAGTGTACAACGTTTTGACGTTTTGTTAGAACGCACGTGTTTCTGGTGCATTTCATGAACTCCTGTTTATAACAAAGATAGGTGGTTGATCGATCAGAATCAGAGAGAGGGAGAAAGCTGTCAATTCCTTGCTTCGTTTTCTTTAAATTTTTCTTCGAAACCAAGTCATAATTAATCACGAGAGCTGATTTTAATTCAAATCAATCAGCTTGATGGTACTAGCTACAATTCCATCATTTACCAAACAAGTTTCTGCTTGGTTTCCAAGAAAATGCAGGGAGGGAAAATGATCAATTAATCACATTTTATTACTTCTTTTTTTTTTCCTTTTGAAAAATTGCAACTTAAATTAAGCTCTGATGGAACCACGAGGCCATTTCGTTTCTATTATAAAGTTCTAAATACAAATTATTATTTGTACTCCCAACAACAATCAATATGGACCACTGACTGACATATAAAATTAAATAAAATTATTTATCATGTAGGTAGAACATTTATTAGCCTTTTGTAATTTTGTTAATATATTATATATGATATGGAAGAGATTTAACCTAGATTTATTCTTGTCACGTTGGGACTTTTTCTGTGATGACCTTTAGTTGGATCGGATTAATAATTATGGCATCCTACAATTCTTACTTAGAAAATTTAATTTATGTCAACTTTTCTGAAGAATCTGTACGAAGTTGTATAGGACAATTTGTACAGGACACTCTACTTTTTGAGATTTGTATGAAAGACTCTTAATTAATTAGAAGGAAAA